ATTTTAAAAACCAATGTATATTATCTCATTCTTCCAATATTTATCAAATGATAAGGAATTTCAAACTATTAAAAAAAAACTTACATTGACTTCGGAATGAATCAGTAAATTTCATGTTAAATAAATATTAAAGGTATAAACAATAGACCATAAATCAAGACTTCATTGAATTAAAGAAAGTGAAATTAAAATAATTTGTTAAAATTAAAATATAATAATTATTAAAAAATAAAAATGCATCCAAATTCAAACATGACAACTAGAAAACCCTCACACAATAATTTCTTTTAAATATATTAACTAAAGTTTAAATGAAACAATCATTCATGATACTGCATTTATCAATTTTAATATGAAGAAACAAAAACGGTGACAAATCTCAAAGATATTTATAGATTTAAAGGTATTAAAACGTATCAGAAAGATACGATTACAGATCGGAAGTAGTTGGCTTTTTTCTGTTTTTAATCCAAGTGGTTATGAAAAATTTAAAAAATAAATCGTTACTTATAAATTATGTACATTTAAAATTTCAATTAATGTGATATTTTAATGAGATTTTCTTGTTGAAGATATTTATAATCTTTAAATCCTTTAATTGCCATTTTATCTGAAAAATAAACCGATAGGAAGAAAATGTTATCAAGGTAAAAATTGTTATTTCCCGAAAATATAAAAAAAATACCATAAATAATAAGATTTTTTAAAATTTTTGTTTCGGGGATTTTAATATCTTTGTTCCAGTATATGCTCGGTTTTTGTGGTCTTTAAAAAAAAAGGAAATAAAAAGAAAATTGTTTAATAAAAATTTATGAGTCTGAAAAATTAAATATAGGTTTCTCTAAGAACTTAAAAACAAAACTTTTTTTATAACATATTATATTTTAGTGGTTCGTATCTTTGATTGAGTCAGCTTTATAATTGTCCCTGTTTATGATTTTTAATGAATTTTAGAAATTAGTAATGAAAAATTAGTAATGAACTTATACATTTTTAAATAAAATTTAAAAAAAGAAGAAAATTTTGTATTAAGGTAAACCAAGAGATATTTGGAAGAAAAAAGAAAATCAGGACAGTTTTCTCTGAAGTATATTATAAAATACATACCAGATACGTATTTTAGGTATTTTCTATTCAGGCAATACTAGTCAGAAATATAACCCTAAACTCCTTTAGAGCACAAACGAATACAAAAAATTAATAATGATATTCCAACATTTAATTTTTTTTCTAAAGGAGCTAAATAATTTGTGGGGTTACAGGGTTCATGGGCAGCAGTAGTGGATTCAGGATTGAATTTTGGGGCGACTATTTTTTTTTTTTTTCATTTTTAATCATGGTAGGTAATCAAATAAAAATAAAGCTTATTTGATACAGCCTTACACTTATTAATTAATTATTAGGCTAAGATCTATCATAGAAACAAATATTATTTTTTATTTTGAGCGGGCTTCAGTCCGTATTTCTCTCTCCACCCCTTAGAACTCGCTAGTGATGGAGAGATTTTGCACTAATTTATAAAACTAATTACAAATCTGGGGCATCAAAAACAGGGGCAATTGAAAGCCAACATATCAAAAAGATGAACCAGTAAAATATAATATGTTATAAAAAAAAAAGGTTTTGTTTTTTCAGTTCTTTGAGAAACCTATATTTCAATTTTCAGACTCAATATACATTTCCAATTTAAATAAAACGGAAAAAAAAAATATATATATATATTGAGTTTTCATTCAGTATAAATCCCGATAAAAACAAATAAAATTATATACATTTTTAAATTAATTTAAAATTACTATAAGATATCTTTAATTAATTAATTAATTAATTAATATAAAGATCTTAAAAACAAAAAAAATCAAGACAATTAGCACCATTTGTGAAGACTTGTTTAATTGTCAAAAATATGACCAATTTCTGCTACAAAGATTTTCGCCGCACAAAAAAAAAAAAAATAAAAAAAAAAACCTTGACAGGTATAATTTTTAAAACCTAAAAATACTAATTGTTTATTATCCTTGGTAAGCTGTAGAATAAATATACAAAGTCACTTAAAGATAACAAATAAACCTATGAAGGAACAAAAAATATAAGTAGTTTCTATATTTTTCAATGTTCCAAAAGCAACCACTGTTAGCTTTTTTTTTTTTTCTTTTCTCATTCCATTATTTTTCAGTAGAAAATATAAAATTAAAGGATTTAAAATTTAAGTATATCAGGGAACCTAGTCAAAATTAAATACTTACAAAAATAATAATAAAAATGTCTGAATTCCTATGAGCCACAATTGTTGTTTTATGATAGGATTAATACTTATGATGTTACTGATATAAGTGAGGTTTATCGATTCACGGATTTTTGACTGTTTGTGCAGGGGTATACGTTTATTTTTCATAATTATCATATTTCGTAAAAAAAAAAAAAAAGATAAGAGAATAATTTTATTCATATATTCATATATGGATATATCATATATTCATATAACATATTCTATGGGGATCCGTAGTCAAGGTTCTTTTCCCTCAAAATGATATTTCATTCCCACTTTTTCAATTAGTGTTATAAAAATTAAAAGAAAAATGATGGTCCCAAGCAAAATTAAATTCTGTATTCCCTACTGCTTGAGCCTCAGGAATAATTTTTATTTATTTATTTATTGAATTGAATGTTACAACATTCTGTCACTTAGACATTGGTTATAGTGGGGTAAGATCACATTCAAAATATATTTGAAAAAGATATAAAATAAACAGAATCAAAAAATTAAATATTAAATTTAATTCTAAAGCCTTTTATGAAGTATCGAGCAAAAATATCGTGTAAAGATATCGCATATATTATTATATAAATTATCCGATGATAGCTATACTTTATTTTAATGTAAATTTAGAAGATTAAAGTAATATCGAGTAAGCCACTCCGGGCCTTAGACTACCACTTGTGGGTCACACACGGCAATTAGAGACATTTGACGCTATTGAAGCTATGTTATCGAGATCTTGAGCTTTGGAAGTCAGTGCCCTACCAATGAGTTACCTTGCTCTTCTCCAGAGTAACACCGTTATTAAAAGAAAAAAAGTTCTGCCAAATTTAATCCTGAATCCATTACCGTAATAATAGTGAATAGTTCATATCGGGTTCCCCCTTTGGAGCTAGTGCTTTCTGGCTGAATCCCCCCCAAAATGGTAAAATATAATCTTGCTTTATGGAATAAAATATTTAAAAAATACCTCTTAAAGTATTATTGTTCATGTAATTACATTTAAAAGGAAGGACTTGAGGAATCACTTAAACACCATTTCATATAGGTAGTTAGTTTCTTTCTGTTTTTCCGAAGTAATTATCGTTATTTTTATGAAAAAAAACCTTTGGGGCCGAAGCCTCCCCCCCCCCAAATTAAATCCTGGATCCGCCAGTGCCTGGCTAAGACTACCACTCGTGGGTCACATTCACCACAGAAGAAACATTTGACGTTATTGAAGCCATTTTATTCCGTAAGATGCTAAGTTAAATATTATAAAGGTTTTTATAATGTACATGTTGAATAAATGTTCAAATACAATTTCTTTAACGTTGTGGGTATTGTTGACCAAGGCCGACTAACTGTTATAAGACCAAGATCAGGACTGCTAAAAAAAGCGATTTTTTAATTCAAAATTAAGGCAAAATAGTTATTAATACTTGACAATCTTAGTTATTATATGTTAATAATTGGTATAACCAATATACTTTTGCTTTTAAATCTTCTAATTTTTAATTCGTGCTTAGTTAGGTTTCTCCCATCTAAAAAATTACAGTAATATCTCTATAGTAAGAAGATAATAAGTAACTGGAAGCAGGCTGAAGCCCCCTTTCCCCCCCCCCCCTCCAAAATGGTAAAATATAACCATGTTGTATGGAAAAACATATTAAAAAATTATCTCTTGAAGTATTATTGTTCGTGTAATTACATTTAAAAGTACTTAAGGGATCACTTAAACACCATTTCATATAGGTAGTTAGTTTCTTTATTTTTTTCCATACTAATTATCGTCATTTTTATGAAAAAAAAGCTTTCGGGCTGAAGCCTCCCCAAAATTAAATCCTGAATCCGCTAGTACCGGGACCCCTTTGGAGCTCGGGCTTAGACTGCCACTTGTGGGCCACATTCAGGAACAATTGACGTTATTGAAGCCATGTTATTCCATAAAATGCAAAGTTAAATACTTATAAAGGCTTTTATAATGCACATGTTGAATAAATGTTTAAATACAATTTCTTTAACGTTATGGGTATTGTTGACCAAGGCCGCCTAACTGTTACAAGACCAAGATCAGGACTGCTAAAAAAAAAGCGATTTTTTAATTAAAAATTAAGGCAAAATAGTTATTAATACTTGACAGTCTTAGTTATTATATGTTAATAATTGGTATAACCAATATACTTTTGCTTTTAAATCTTCTAATTTTTAATTCGTGCTTTGTTAGGTTTCTCCCATCTAAAAAATTACAGTAATATCTCTATAGTAAGAAGATAATAAGTAACTGGAAGCAGGCTGAAGCCACCTCCCTCCCCCCTAAATGGTAAAATATAACCATGTTGTATGGAAAAACATATTAAAAAATTATCTCTTAAAATATTATTGTTCGTGTAATTACAATTAAAAGTACTTAGGGGATCACTTAAACACCATTTCATATAGGTAGTAGTTTCTTTATTTTTTTCCAAACTAATTATCGTCATTTTTATGAAAAAAAATCTTTCGGGCTGAAGCCCCCCCAAAATTAAATCCTGAATCCGCTAGTGCCGGGCCCCCCTTTGGAGCTCGGGCTTAGACTGCCACTTGTGGGCCACATTCAGGAACAATTGACGTTATTGAAGCCATGTTATTCCATAAAATGCAAAGTTAAATAGTTATAAAGGCTTTTATAATGTACATGTTGAATAAATGATTAAAAACAATTTCTTTAATATTTTGGGTGGCCTCAGGCCTTTAAGCGATGAATTTTTTCAAAAATACATTATTTCAAGTGCACTAAGGACTGACCTGTGAGCCGCTCCTTGATGGCGTGGGAGGCGAAGGCGGCAGCGGCGGCGGCGGCGGCACTGCTGTAGGCGGCGGGGTGGACGAGGCCCCAGGGGAAGGGGCCCACGGGGGGCGGCGGCGCCCGCTGGGCAGGCACCCGGATCACCCCCGCCGGCCGCTCCTCGCCCAGCAGCCTGGATATCGAGAACGGCAGCGGCACCGGCTGCTCCTCGTCCTCGGTGCCGTCCTCGTGGCCCGAGTCCACGTTGATCTCTTCTTCGTCCTCACTGGCTCGAGGGGACGTCATGACACTAGCTCTGCATCACACCCACTGAGCGGCCCCGCCCTCGCGATCGCCCGCCCCTCCACTCCGGCCACGCCCACTACCCCCACTCCTCCCGCCTCCGACCAATCCCCGCCGCAGAATTAATTATAACCCCCTACGAGGGAACAAATGTAGCCGAATCGGCCCGACCATTGGGGCTGTATTCATTGGATTCGTGGTCTGGTGTGACAACCATAGGGTACGATTCCAGGCCGCGGTGTACACTGCATCCGCTATTCACAACATTGATCAGAACCCGGGTTGGGAATCATTTAGCTCACCAGAACCTGTTCAAACTTTAAAAGAATCATTACACCCAACACTGCTGAGGACAAAAGATTTTTCTTTTCTTTTTATTTTTGATAGAAACGATGCACAAATACTCTAAGTAAAAAATAAAAAAAATATTTATAACTTCCAATTATTAACAATTCGAGTATATTTTTAACGTTACATGTTAACAGTCTAGTTTACGTTTCGGGACCTTTTATTCCCATCTTCAGAACTGCAATTCCAATACTCTTGTGGATGCAAGGCTTAATTCTAATAATAATAATAATAATGTGCTCCATCGTCAATTTTCTAATTTATGTTCTAAAATTTATCATCTCGAGCAACATTCTCCTTTTTTTCCCCCGGGACATTAAAAGGTCACGTTTCGCATCCACACAGAACGGTAGGAAGGTTAATGGTTTTGTAAATTCTGATTTTTAAATTTCGGTACAACAACCGCGAACTAAAACGTTTCCCAACTGAATAATAGCAAGCACTTCCCCGCTTTTAACCTAGCTTGAACTTCTTTTTAATATCCTTTTCTCTTATTATCGTAGATCCCAAATAAATAAACTTCTCTACATGTTCAAAAGTATTTCCTTCAATATCTAGATAAGATAAGATAAAGATAAGTAAATAAAAAAAAAATACAGATTTACCTTTATACGCTACAACCAGACAAGAGAACTCCAAGCAGGTTTGTCCCCTAACTATAGAGGAAAAAGCAGGACTTCAGAAGATCCCCTCTTTTAATCGCGTAACTAAAGTCAGTGAAGATTGCTTGGCAATAACTTCCAATTATTAACAATTCGAGTATATTTTTAACGTTACATGTTAACAGTCTAGTTTACGTTTCGGGACCTTTTATTCCCATCTTCAGAACTGCAATTCCAATACTCTTGTGGATGCAAGGCTTAATTCTAATATTAATAATAATGTGCTCCATCGTCAATTTTCTAATTTATGTTCTAAAATTTATCATCTCGAGCCAACATTCTCCTTCTCCCCCCCCCCGGGACATTAAAAGGTCTAGACTGTTAATATGTAACGTTAAAAATATACTCGAATTGTTAATAATTGGAAGTTATTATTGCCAAGCAATTAAATTAAATTGACAACTTCCAAGAAAAAAAGAAAATTTCTTCTATTCATATACATAAAATAGTAATTATCATTCTGAAATAATTCATTTTTATTCTGAAATAAAAAGAAAAATACTAATTTTAAATAATATTAGGATGCTCCTAAATAGTGTTGCTCAAAATCGGTCTTGGTCTTGCGCTATGCAAGACCAAGACCAAGGCCGCCTAACTGTTGCAAGACCAAGACCAGGACTATTAAAAAAAATCGATGTTTTTAATAAAAAAATAAGGCAATAATAGTTACTAATACTCGACACTCTTAGTTACTATATGTAAATAATTTGTATAACCAATATAGTTTTGCATTTAATTCCTCCTTGAAGGCAGTGGATCAGCTGATGCGAAGGACGTGTTCTGAAATCTTCTCTCAGTTGTTGCCTATTTTTTCAGCGGAATCTCTTTGATTATTTACTGAATATAGTTGAACTGTACACCAGAGCAGTTGTTATTTACAGTTTGCTACATTTTTTTTTTAATATTTTTTTTTTTTTTTTTTTTTTTTTTTAATTTTTTTTTTCTTCTCTTATGATATGCGGCATTGTCAGCCAGTGATGTCCAGTAAGGTGCCCACTAAGAGGACTCGGTCAGACGGAGTTAGTACCCCTCGTGATTCACCAGTGAAACAAAGAACTCGTCGCTGCCTGCGAGAAATAGCTCCAATAGCCACAGTGAAAACTTCAGATACAGAACCTCAGCCTCAACCAGGTACTTCTTCGCAAGAAATGGTTGAAGAATCTCCTTTCTTCACTCCAAACCCGTTCCAAGTGCTTCATAATGACAGAGAAGTAATGGAGTCAGCAGCAGTACCCAGGGAACCAAGGCCTCCTCCGATATTTGTTAAAAACATCAAAAATTTTCAACTACTGTGTACACAGCTAAACGAAATCTGCTCCGGCAGTTATTCTTGCCTCAACAGGACTAACGACACAAAAATAACACCTGATACTGCAGAAGCCTACCGAAAAATTGTGAAGTACCTGTCAGAAACTAATGCAAATTTCCACACGTACCAGCTGAAACAGGAGAGATCGCTACGAGTGGTGGTTAGAAATTTACACTCCTCAACCCCAACTGAAGTGATAAAAGAAGAACTAGCGACGCTTGGTTTCAAAGTGCGTCAGGTAACCAACGTTCTGAAGGAGAATAAGGAGCAGCCAGGAGTGAGTAATAAAGTTCCACTACCTTTATTTTTCGTGGATCTAGAGCCATCACCTGGCATTGAAAAAATATATGATATCAAGAGATTGTACTACACTATCGTGAAGATAGAGAAGCCATACCCCAAGAAGGAAATTGTGCAGTGCCACAATTGCCAGGCGTATGGCCACACGAAAACTTATTGTCACCATCTGCCACGTTGCGTGAAATGCGGTGAACAGCACAAATCTGTGGAGTGCACCAAACCAACACAAGATCCTGCAGTGTGTGCACTATGCCAGGAGGGACACCCGGCCAACTACAAAGGCTGCCAAACCTATAAGAGCCTCAAATCCAGATACCAGAAGAACCGGATTCAAGATGAGACAACCAGACCAAGAAGAGAACCTTCTAGAATTGTTAACAATAATTTATCATACTCCGAACTACTTGGAGGTAAGAACCCTAATAATACATGTGAAGCCCTGCCGCAGCAACTACCTCAGCCCCAATCTCAATATTCTGTTCATCCTAACACACATAATCATCAACAACCTCAAATTCCTCATATTCCTCCTCCTTCAAATGCAACAGATCTCACTAGTTTGTTAGCATCTTTCCTAACCGATTTCAAATCCCTAGTCACTCCACTCATATCACTCCTTACAAATCTCGTATCTCACCTCATCCCTCCTTTGAAAAATCCTTAATGACCCACATACCAAAACCCATGTCCATTCTCCTTTGGAATGCGAATGGTGTTAGAAATCACGTTGACGAACTAACAGCTTTACTACAAGACAAGAACATTGACGTAGCCCTAATTACAGAAACTCGACTGACCATAAAACAGCATTTAAAAATCCCACAGTATTTAACATACCGTACTGACCACCCTGATGGCAGAGCACATGCCGGCACTGCTGTCATCGTACACCAATCCCTCTCCCATCACTTACTCCCATTACCTACTCAAGATTTCCTACAGTCAACCGCTATTGTAATCAAAGCCTTCTCCTTTCCAGTCACCCTTGCATCAGCATATTGCCCTCCTAACAGATCCATATCCAAAGTCCAGTTCAGTTCTCTCCTCAACTCCTTAGGTCATCAATTCATCCTGGGTGCAGACTTAAATGCCAAGCATCAAGTTTGGGGTTCAAGAACCACGAATTCTCGTGGCAGAACATTTCTGTCTGCACTCAATACCCAACGTTTCAGTCTCCTTCCACCCAACTCACCTACCTACTGGCCCACAGATCCTAACCGCAATCCCGATATCCTTGATTTTTTCATCCACAGTGGCTTAGGTCCCCTCAATCATTCCCTTACCCCTCTTGGCGAACTATCCTCAGATCATAGTCCATTATTACTCCAATTATCTCTAGCTCCTATTCCTAAGTCTTCTCCACCGTCCTTCATCAGAGGCCCAGTTAACTGGAAACTCTTTCACCAAATCCTTACCGATAAAATTGACCTCAGAATGACCCTGAAAACCCCAGATGACCTTGACAATACCGTACACTTTTTTACCACCACTATCCAACAAGCAATCTGGACTGCTTCCTTTCCAAACCACTCCTCAAGAACTCCTAAGAAAAATAAGTTACCTCAACACCTCATAGACCTAATCCATACCAAACGCCGTGCCAGATTATTATGGCAACGTACTAGACACCCCACCGATCGCCAATCCTATAATTATTTTTGCAAAAAACTAAAGATAGAATTGGCCACCTTCAGATCCCAATCCTTCAACTCCTACCTCACTTCCCTCTCTTCTCATGACAATTCCCTATGGAAGACCACCAAACATATCCTAAAACCCCATCACATATCACATCCTCTCCGTCGAGGTGATGGCTCTTGGGCAGCATCTGACGAAGATAGAGCCGAAGAATTCGCCAAAAACCTTTCCCTTACATTCACCTCTCATCCAGAATCCAATCCCACCCACACGTCAGCAGTAGAGGAATTCCTTAATTCACCCATCCCACTCTCCTTACCGCCTAAAGCAGTTAATCCTTCTGAGGTCAAATTCCTTTTACAAAAACTACCTACCCGTAAATCACCTGGATACGACCTGCTTACCTCTCAGATCCTTAGACAACTCCCTCCTAAAGCTGTCATATTCCTTACATACATATACAATAGCATCCTACGAACCACCCACTTTCCTCTTTTGTGGAAACATTCCACTATTATCCTGTTTCCGAAACCAGGCAAACCTCCCAACACCTCAACGTCCTACAGACCAATTAGCCTTCTTCCTATTCTCTCAAAAATCTTTGAAAAGATCCTCCTAAAACGCATCCTACCCTTTATAGAATCCCAAACTCTTCCTTCCCATCAGTTCGGATTTCGTTCACAACACTCTACAGTCCAACAAGGACTCCGAGTGGTTGATCATATTTCCGCAGCATTGGAAAGCAA